GAGGGGCAGAGAGAGAGGGAGACACAGAATCGGAAACAGGCTCCAGGCTCCGAGCCATCAGCCCAGAGCCCGACGCGGGGCTCGAACTCACAGACCGCGAGATCGTGACCTGGCTGAAGTCGGACGCTTAACCGACTGCGCCACCCAGGCGCCCCTTGAAATTCTTTTTAAGTTTATTTATTTTGAGAGAGAGCATGCCCTCGAGTGGGGGTGGGGCAGAGAGAGAGAGAGAATCCCAAGCAGATTCCGCGCTGTCAGCTGAGAGCCTGACTCGGGGCTCAAACCCACGAACCCTGAGACCGTGACCTGAGCCAAAACCAAGAGTTGAATGCTCAACCGACTGGGCCACCCAGGCGCCCCGCCATCTTGAATGTTCTGTCGATCATTCTTTCGGTCTTCCTTTTTTCCCCCGTTAAGTGTATATTTGAAGCATTTTCAGACCTGCGGTGAATGTATAGTAATAATAAAACAAATACCCATGGAAACGTAAAGATTTGCAGATTTGCTAGTATTTTGCTTTATTTGCTGTCTGTATATGAACACATGGTCGCATAAAGTCAGGTACGCAGGTTGCCCTGTTGGCTGTCTGTATGCGCGTGCGTGTTCACAGATGCTCGTGCACACTTTTTTTGTTTGTTTGTTTTTTGCTGAACCACCTGAGAGAGACTTTTAGATATCGCGACATCTCACCCCTTGCGCCTCAACACGTCTCCCCTGAAAACAGTGCAGTTCCCAGGTTTCTGCAGGGTGTCACTGAGTCCGCCCCTCTGTTGCTTAGGGATGCGGAACCGTCCCCACCTTGGCTGCTGCTCGGACAGAACTGCCGGGATCACTTTTGTCCAGGTGTCCTTCCTGCTTCTCACGCGGAAGAGTGTCCCCTGCCACTCGGCTGGTAAAGTGCAGGCTGCAGTCCAGCAAAATGGGCAACAAATGGGACCTTGTTAGAAATCCCACGCCCAGGCTCCTCCCCAGGCCTGGGGAACCCGATTCAGTTTCGAAAGGCAGTTCCACAATATAAATCTTGGAGTAGAATTATAGGTAGTAGATTTGGGACTGTCTGATTTTCTTTTTCTTTTTTAATTTTTTTTTAATGTTTATTTTTGAGACAGAGAGACAGAGCATGAACGGGGGAGGGTCAGAGAGAGGGAGACACAGAGTCTGAAACAGGCTCCGGGCTCTGAGCTGTCAGCACAGAGCCCGACGCGGGGCTCGAACTCACGGACCGAGAGATCATGACCTGAGCCGAAGTCGGACGCTTAACCGACTGAGCCACCCAGGCGCTCCTCTTTTTTTTTTTTTTTAATTAAAAATGTTTAATATTTACTTTTGAGAGTTGGGTGGGGAAGGGAGGGGCACAGAGGATCCGAAGCAGGCTCCGCCCACCGTGACAGCACAGAGCGGGAAGCGGGGCTCGACCCCAGGAACCATGATTGTGACCTGAGCCAAAGTTGGACGCTTCACCAACTGAGCCACCTGGGTGCGCCAGGGCTATCAGGTTTTCTGTGTGAAAGAAATGTTTTTCACAATATGAGTGTAGCAGTTTGCATCCACACAACAGGTTTTTTGGTTTTGTTTTGTTTTGTTTTGTTGTTAGTAGGCTCCATGCCCAACATGGGGCTCGATCCCGTGACCTCAAGATCCGGAGTCGCATGCTCTACTGACTGAGCCAGCCAGGTGCCCCACACAACATATAAAAATTACAGTACACAGTGCGTATCACGTCGGGATCGGCGCTGACAGCGTGGAACCTGCTTGGGATTCTCTCCCTTTCTCTCTGCCCCTCCCCGCCCAAATAAACAAACATTAAAAAATATATACTAAGAAAGAAAAAGAAGAAAAATCGCACCCTCTCCCAACTGAGCCAGCCAGAAGCCACGTGACCTCTCCCTTTTGCAGTTGAAGCCAAAATCCAGAGTTGGGTCCTTAGCTGGCTGTGCCCCCCCCCCCAGGCACCCCCTGAGGGTTTTTGTTTTATTTTATTCTTATTTATTTAATTTTTTTTTTAAGAGAGATCACAAGCGGGGGAGGGGAGCAGAGGGAGCGAGAGAGGAGACAGAACCCCAAGCAGGCTCTGTCAGCCCAGAGCCCGACGCGGGGCTCAAACTCACGAACCAAGAGATCATGAGCTGAGCCGCAATCGAGAGTCTAATGCCTTCCCCGACTGAGCCACACAAGTGCCCCGAGAAGTGCTGTTTTATGGCCCCTTTGGTTTCCCCTTTTTGGGGATCATGATGAGTTCGCATGTTAGTAACGAGTCCGTTTCAATCAGTTGCACAGTTACATTCAGAATCTCCCAAACTGGGCCATTGGCAGACCCTTAACAGTCAACGTCTGTATTTCTTTTTTCTTTCTTTCTTTCTTTCTTTCTTTCTTTCTTT